CTCCCTTCGGCGCGCTGATGACGCCAAATGTCGCCTCAAGTCTTCGGCATAAGTCGCTCACTCGCACGGCGTGGTGAAACTTATACGGGTAACGACGACAATACCTAAGATATTTTGTACTCTAAACATCCAGGTTTGTCCACTAAAAATGTGGTGCACGCGACGCCAGTGGGATTGCGGATGGAAAGTAGTTTTTTTGGTGTCGAGCAGGGACGAAAATATCGACAGTCTGATTTTCATGGCCAGGGCTTCACAGCCTAACTTCGCTCGTGAGCCGCAAGTGAAATTGCACCGCGTAGCAGCCCATGATACTGACAAACCCACCAATTTAAGACCAGTCGATCAGCTTGAACTGGGCTAGCCAAAAATTGAAAGCAATCCATTATAAGCAGTTGTGAAATACATCAGGGTGAAAGACAACCTATAAGTTTACCAGAAATAGAAGCGGCACCTCCAACTCCAACCTCAACAAAACTGTAACAAGCCATAGCAGAGCCTACGACAGGGTGTGTAAGTGAATAAGAACACGGGAAAGTGAGAGCTGGCAGACAACGTAATCATTACAAGTGATGCGACCAAAACTGGTGATGACAGTCGTCTAGTGATATGAAACAATGCGACATCTTGCAGCCTCTCGAATGCGAAGCCTTGTCACATCACATCTCTGGGTGGGTGTTCCTCCGGTAAGTAAATGCGATTTTTGTTCCGAAACACCAGGCAGGTCATATACAAGATTTGCCGAATGTACGGCAAGCGGCTATTCCGAAAAAGTGGTGGAAAAGTTCAAGCCATGCCGACATAAGCAGGGAAGGTCTTACGCTCCTGTACTGCAATGACACTCTGTGAGAAACTTCCTGCGGGGTCCCAATAGCAGTCGGAGACATGGGCTCCCTGTGCTACTGACGTGTACGATGGTTCAAACCCCGCTGCCACCACGTGCCAAAACCAGCCGCGAGGGGCCTGGATGGGTGAGGAAAGCTTCTCAGATGCGCGCTGTCTACATGTCCGCCATTACAACAAAAAGGAGGTGGGGGTACAGCTCACAAACCTCCAGTGTGATCGAGCTGCTCAACGTCACCGTTCCCAGCCCGATGAAGCTGTCAAGTGACTGCTAGATCAGAAGGCTGTGGACGACCGACGACAGGCCCGATGAAGCTGCCAAGTGACTGCGAGATCAGAAGGCTGTGGACGACCGATGACAGGCCCGATGAAGCTGCCAAGCGACTGCTGGATCAGAAGGATGGGGACGATCGACGACAAGGCCGATGAGGCTGTGAGGTGGCTGCTAGATCAGAAGATTGTGGACGACCGACGACAAGCCCAATGAAGCTGTGAGGTGGCTGCTAGATCAAAAGGCTGGGGACGATCGACAATCAACATGGGCCACTGGTAAAACATCACGGACAAAACAGCCCCTATACAGATGTGGAACGAAGAACCTGCGCTGACGGAGTTGGAATGGGAGCCTGCGCAAAAAATCGCTTCTGCCCGGGCCGGCTGCCACCGCAGGGCCGCTACTGCTGAGCAGAGCGTCTCCAACGTCTGACGGATTTTTGACACAAGGGAGAAATCGGATGCATTGGTCGGCAGCCTGTCGGAACCGGTGACTCACCAGGTGACAGGTCATCTAAAGGTTAGGTCAGGGGTCAGGCCCCTGAACCACCTGGAAGCATCTATTCCTGTGGACCCAAGAATGACCGTACGGAAACAGGTAGCTGCTGCGGTCGCATATGCGGCCAGCGATTGAGAGGACCTCCAGAACAAGATCCGCAAGTCCCTGCCTACTACTCTTCGAGACCCCTGTGCCACTCGCGTCCAGTGTGGCACCACAGTCTGGGGCATCGTCTAACGCGTGGGTCCGAAGCCGTTTGGACGGTCCAATAGACGAGCCACCAGACGGGCCCTTCAATTCGCCACAGGACGTTTCAAAGGAGAGTCCATCCACCAAAGGACACTTACCAAGAGAACCCATCTGCTGGACCTGTGTAGTCTCCCGGCTACAGCATACCTTGTCCAGATATTGTCCTGACACACGAGATCCTAGACACCGGAGCACACCACCATCAGCATTGGATCACACGGTTTTTTCGTCTCAGTGGCTCCGTCCTACACCGCAGGAGGGTGATTTCAGCAGGCTTATAAACCCGAGGCTCTCTACAACGTCAGATGAATTGGCTCTGAGCTGAGATCGGCCGGGGGGGGGGGGGGGTGGAATGCTCCACCGGCTCGGGTGGTCCTCCCTTTCACTGCCAACCCGCTCAAAAACCGACGCGACGCGCACTGGACTGGTTCTCGACACTCTTGTCTAGAGTAGTTCGGCGACGAATGGCTTCTGACGAGCTGGATGGTACCAGGCCTTCAGGCCAAAGCGCTGTTCGAGTTCAGAATAACAAACCGTAAATGCGGTAAGGAGATTTGAGGTAATAGCTGATAAGTCCGAATAACAGAGCCATGACAGGAACCGCCATGGTGAGGTGCTTGACGCATCGCTACTTCAGTTTCAGTTGCGTGATACTGGTAATATGAAGTGTGATGGCTGCTTCCTCACAAGCCTTTCACATTGTCAGGTATAAAGGTGACTACCTTGGTCACGAATACGGCATCAGTGTTTTCGTTTTACTTATAGCAATTTCACGTTTTGAAGTTTGCCTGACATTTTAGCTTCAACTTTCGATTGCACATGACGCATGTTGAACGGAGATACACACCGCAATTTGGGTCACACATTGAAGTGAACTGTGCTAAAAGGATAATTAAGGAGACACCATGATATATGTGACCGGTCGAGCTAAGCTGAAGGGTCATTGTCCTCTCCTTTTAAGCAATGAGATGTCCGCGGTCCGAAGCATCCTGTTTAAGGCGTTGAGGGGTTGGGGGTTGAATACACCGGAATGCGCCGTTCACGTATTCGCGTTAATTGCTGATTCGACTTGTGTTATATCATGCGCAGTGTCCGACACGTGCTCTTTAACTCGGGTGATGCAAACATAGAAGAACGCACCCTAACCACAAGCCAAATACGACGCATATTGTCAGGCATGCGAAGACAGGCAAAGCCAAGACATGTACCTACGAACCGCGGTGCTACACAGCCCGCCACGCCTCCCCCTCCCCCTCCCCCTTGCCAGAATAGTGGGACACATGAGATACGAGTCGCACCAAAAGAGCGCTGTGCACCCGATTCAAAGCGTTTGTCACTCTCGGTGCTGCGGCACGAGACAATCGCTCGTGTAGGCCGATCAACCATCCACACGACAAAGTCGGCTGGGACTCCTCGTGGGTGGGCTTTCCACCACGTTCTGATGTACCAAGCGGGCTTCACGGGCTAAAATCGACTAGTGTTAGGAAATGGTGTAAAGGAAACGCGTATCCTTGTGCATTAAATGAAAAACCTTGTAACCAGCAAGAAAACGGGTGAAGGCCAAATATCTGCCTACATAGACACACGCTCAACTGTTCAGTACAGCCTGGCTCTGTGACGCCCGCGCTCGTGGCCTCCCCAGCCTGAGGCTGTCAGTGAGATATTGTCCTGTGCTGCGGACTATGCTGTGGATAGTCAGCGGGATATTGTCCCGTGCTGCGGACTATGCTGTGGATAGTCAGCGGGATATTGTCCTGTGCTGCGGACTATGCTGTGGATAGTCAGCGGGATATTGTCCTGTGCTGCGGACTATGCTGTGGATAGTCAGCGGGATATTGTCCTGTGCTGCGGACTATGCTGTGGATAGTCAGCGGGATATTGTCCTGTGCTGTCAGTGAGATACTGTCCTGCGCTGCGGACTGGCTCGGTTCCCCACGCTATACCCAAAGCCCCCGGGACAGGAGAGAACGCCCGACATAACGCCGACTCCGGGAACAGCGTTGAGGAAGAGAGACCGGCGGAGGACAGGGGTTGATGGAGGGAGGGAGGGAGGGAGATGGAGAGGGAGAGGGAGAGGGAGAGGGAGAGGGAGAGGGAGAGGGAGAGGGAGAGGGAGAGGGAGAGGGAGAGGAGAGGGAGAGGGAGGGAGGGAGGGAGAGGGAGAGAAAGGGAGAGGGAGAGGGAGAGGGAGGCAGAGGGAGAGGGAGAGGGAGGCAGAGGGAGAGGGAGAGGGAGAGGGAGGGAGGGAGAGGTAGAGAGAGAGGGAAAGAGAGAGGGAGAGGGAGAGGGAGAGGGAGAGGGAGAGAGAGAGGGAGAGAGAGAGAGAGAGAGAGAGAGCGGCGGAGGACAGTCAGCCCGAACCGCAGCGACGATCTGGGTCTGCCGCCTGATCCCATTTCAGTCGACCTCTCGACTCCGGTGATCGCGGACCGGGACGACGACGCCGCTCATACGCGCACGCTCGTGACCTCCGGCGCACGGCCGCACGGGCACACACACGGCATGGCGCTGCCGGCCAGCGGAGCCGCCGCCGCCGCACCGCTGTGTGGGCGGGGCGGGGAGGGGTGACGAGGAGCTCCCCTCAGCCCCGCCCCGCCCGTCCAGTCGGCGGCGGCTTGCGCGGTGGCGGCGGTCGGGGGAGCGTGCAGGTCCGATGCCCCCCCCCCCCCCCCCCCTCCGCCCAGTCCACTCCGAACGGCACGGCGCACAGCCGGCGGGCGGGCTGGCAAAGTGCGGATGGGCGGCCGGGTGGAAAGCAAGACGGCGCAACGGCCAGGGGTCGGACCAGGCGGGCGGCCATATCATCACACCGCTGGTAACGCTACAGTCAGGGGTCGGATCAGGCGGCGGCCATATCATCACACCGCTGGTGTGCTACAGCCAGGGGTCGGACCAGGCGGCGGCCACATCGTCACACCGCTGGTGCGCTTCATCAAAAGGTCAGTCGCATCGCTTTTGGCGGGGCGGAAGGCAAAACTGCCAATCAGCTGTGAGTATTTCAGAGCCGTCGATTTCTTCCCACGTTTACTAGCGTTTTAGCAATAGCAGCGTTCCCGTACTGTTACCGCTGTTTCATTGCGAGCCGGTTGCCGGGGACCGACCTGCACCCTCCCTCGACCCCACACGGACATGGACTGACCTTGTGAGGCTCTGTCACCGCCGGCGCCGGCCGACGACGGGCCGGCTTCTCCTGCAACACAGGCGGCTGCTGTCAGGCCGGGTCTGGCCGGCGCCTGCGCAGGTCACGTCTTGGTAAGGACAGGTCAAGGCAAGTCACAGACAGACTGCTCTGTGCGTAGCCCGGTTTAGTCCAGTTGGATCCCAGCCAGCTAATTAGCTAGCATCAAGTTCCAGCGTTTCTCTGGACCCAATTTTACTTCACCCCCGCTGGCGTAATAAAAACATTCCATGTTGGCCATGTTATGCTTTATCAATTGATTGATTATTGGAGCATTTGAGGACGTCGACTCTTCAGCTGGCTTTTAACATGCCGCTGAAACAACACACAGAGCTATCAGACACTGGACAGCCAAACTTCCTGAAACCTCTCATCCCAAACCCTTGTTTACTGAGCTTCCGCAATCGCAGCCTGCCTCCTTCTCACCTAGCGAGTCGTCCAGCAGCGACACCTGGGCGGGATCAAAGCCTTGTCCCGCCCCACCGGCGTGACCCTCGAAGCTGGCCACGTGCCCCAGCGCGGCCTCCAGTTCTCCATCCTCCTCGCTCAAATCCACCTGCTCCACCTTGATCACGCTCGGCGAGCCGCCGGCAGCGCCTATGGCGGTGGGTGCCGAAGCTGCACTTGGCCGGGCAGCAGCAGGCGGTGCCAGCGTCGCTGACGGCGAGGCCGGCCGGCGCCGCTTGGCGGGCGGCGCGGACGGGGGCTCGGCGGGCGGTCGCGACCGGGGCGGCGCCCGGGCGGCTGGAGTAACGGGCGCCGGCGCCTCGTGGGGGCGCTCGTCCGCGGTCGGGTCCTGCTGGAGAGGTGGGCAGCCGGACTCAGCGTACCGCATACCAGCTCACGGTCAGGGGGCGCCACCGTGTGCTCGGTACGAAGGGACGAATGATGAAGCAGCTGAATGCGGCCACAGCAGCTGCCGACGCGGCCACAGACGCGCCCACAACGTGGCGTGGCGGCAGACGGCACAGAACGCAGGCGTTTACACAGTCGCACGTTGTACGCTGGATCTCAAACTACATATATCTCATAAACATCGGGTCAAAGCCCTACGTTCTACTCGCCTGCTGCTCACCGTCTAAGCGTGTCCCGCCTGCTGCCGCTGCTGATGATCTAGATCAATGCATCCACAGATCCCCAATGACCGCGCCCTGTCTGTGCCCGTTCAGCCCGCTCAGCAACGTCCTCGGCGACGCCGTGCCGTGACTGCCCCGCCCCGTGTTCACCTGCCCGTGACTACCCCGCCCGTGTTCACCTGTCCGTGACTGCCCCGCCCCGTGTTTACCTGTCCGTGACTGCCCCGCCTCGTGTTCACCTGCCCGTGACTGCCCCGCCTCGCGTTCAACCTGCCCGTGACTGACCCGCCCCGTGTTCACCTGTCCGTGACTGACCCGCCTCGCGTTCACCTGTGCTGTGACTGCCCCGCCCCGTGTTCACCTGCGCCGTGACTGACCCGTCTCAGGCTCACCTGCGCCGCGATTGGCCCGCCTCAGGCTCACCTGCGTCGTGATTGGCCCGCCTCAGGCTCACCTGCGCCGCGATTGGCCCGCCTCAGGCTCACCTGCGCCGCGATTGACCCGCCTCAGGCTCACCTGCGCCGTGACTGACCCGCCTCAGGCTCACCTGCGCCGCGATTGGCCCGCCTCAGACTCACCTGCGCCGCGATTGGCCCGCCTCAGGCTCACCTGCGCCGCGATTGACCCGCCTCAGGCTCACCTGCGCCGCGTCCTCGTCGCCGCTCAGGCCGCGCACCTGCAGCATCTCGGCCGTCTTGATGAAGCTTGCCAGCTGGCCCTGCGACACGTTCACCTCGCCCTTGTAGACGAACTCGATGACGGCGCGCAGGTCCTCGATGCTCGTGTCTTTCAGGAAGAACACCGGGTGTTGGCACGGGTTCTCCTGCGGGGAAAGGCAGCGTTGGCAGCCTGGACGCCTCAGGGGCGGCACAGAGTCGCGAGGGCTGCGTTGTGCACCCAGATGAGATTAAGTAGTAGCTAGCGTCTGTGCGTTGGATAGGCCGCGTGTGGCAGCCCACGACCGTCACACAGAAGACGGAAAACTTTGGCAATGTCAGCTTTTGGTTGCAAAGGGCCGCAGTACGGTGAGAAAAAAGCTCATAGCATGCTTTGCCAATGAACCTATAGCAGCACGGTTTTGTGAGGGAGAGGGGTTTGCGTCTCCCGAGTGGCCGAGTGGTTTGCGTCTCCCGAGTGACCGAGTGGTTTGCGTCTCCCGAGTGGCCGAGTGGTTTGCGTCTCCCGAGTGGCCGAGGGTTTGCGTCTCCCGAGTGACCGAGTGGTTTGCGTCTCCCGAGTGGCCGAGTGGTTTGCGTCTCCCGCGTGACCGAGTGGTTTGTGTCTCCCGAGTGACCGAGTGGTTTGTGTCTCCCGAGTGACCGAGTGGTTTGCGTCTCCCGAGTGACCGAGTGGTTTGCGTCTCCCGAGTGGCCGAGTGGTTTGCGTCTCCCGAGTGGCCGAGTGGTTTGTGTCTCCCGAGTGACCGAGTGGTTTGCGTCTCCCGAGTGACCGAGTGGTTTGTGTCTCCCGAGTGACCGAGTGGTTTGCGTCTCCCGAGTGGCCGAGTGGTTTGCGTCTCCCGGGTGACCGAGTGGTCTGCGTCTCCCGAGTGACCGAGTGGTTTGCGTCTCCCGAGTGGCCGAGTGGTTTGCGTCTCCCGGGTGACCGAGTGGTCTGCGTCTCCCGAGTGACCGAGTGGTTTGCGTCTCCCGGCTCCCACGTGGGAGCCCTGGGTTAGTATCCCGGTTGCGCAATGGCCTCGAGCACTGATACTGATATTGTAGTCGCTGGTGCTCCATAAAAGGATCGTGAAGACGTGCGTCGTGTTGCGTTTAAAAAAAGTAGCGGAACTCTTCTATATCTGGAAACAATGTGCGGGGGAGAAATCAGCACCACTCGCTAAGCCGTCGTTCCTGCAGGTCCATAAAAACCTAGGTCGATAAAAAAGACGTAAGAGCTTCGGGCTTTGACAGAAAAAAATGACCGGGTTGCGTTCTCACAGCGGCGAATTCAGAACAGTCAGCAGGACTTCACGCCAGTGAACCGCTGATGAAGGGAGGAGCGAACTGATGCTCTGGGAGGGGAGGGCAGCCCAATGACCTGGAGACCCCATCCAATGAGAGGACAGAACTGTCACGGCCGCCAGGTGACCGCGTAAGATCCCACGTGTCCACTGAGGGGACAGAACTGTCACTGCCACCAGGTGACCGCGTAAGATCCCACGTGTCCACTGAGAGGACGGAACTGTCACTGCCACCAGGTGACCGCGTAAGATCCCACGTGTCCACTGAGAGGACGGAACTGTCACGGCCGCCAGGTGACCGCGTAAGATCCCACGTGTCCACTGAGGGGACAGAACTGTCACGGCCGCCAGGTGACCGCGTAAGATCCCACGTGTCCACTGAGGGGACAGAACTGTCACGGCCGCCAGGTGACCGCGTAAGATCCCACGTGTCCACTGAGGGGACAGAACTGTCACGGCCGCCAGGTGACCGCGTAAGATCCCACGTGTCCACTGAGGGGACAGAACTGTTACGGCCACCAGGTGACCGCGTAAGATCCCACGTGTCCACTGAGGGGACAGAACTGTCACTGCCACCAGGTGACCGCGTAAGATCCCACGTGTCCGGCGCCCTGACCTGACCCGCCGTCGGCTGCCGAGGCCGCCTGCCTCCAGCCCGGCACCTCACCTTGAGCAGCTCGCGGAAGTAGGGGCTGCACGCGGAGAGCATCATGCGGTGCGCCTTGACCTTGTGGCCGTCGCAGCAGAGCGTGATGTCCACCAGCTCCTCATCCTGCCGCAGGTGGTCGAACACGGACGTGACGCTCGTGCGGAAGCTGTCCCACTTGAGGCAGAACTTCTGGCCGTTCATCATCTGTGGGGGACGGGCACGCTGTCAGCCGGCGTGACCTAAGCGTGACCTTGCAGACCTTTTCCTTCCGAGGAATCCTTTCAGCACCTTTCAAATCTGGGGCCAATCAGAGGCTGTTGTCACACCTCTGCATCACCGAGTGAGATTAACGGGATCGTTAGGAAGTAGTAATATAAAATAACACGTGGCGGCCTGTTTGGAGGACCAACAGCAAGCCTAGCACCAACATGATGCCATAAGCCTGGATACAATGCCATTGGCCTATAATTAACAACGTAATCGCCAATTACATCGCCAGTAAGTCACCACGTTACATACTGCCTGGTGACTGACTAAACGCCAGAAGGCACTGATAGGCTAGGCACAGTTCTGGAATCGCCAGCACTGGTTCAGAAGCAGCTGCCAGACCAATTCTATATGTCTGATTTTGTCAAATCGCCTGTCTTAATTAGCAGTTAACATCACATTCCGCCCCTGTAATTGCATTGCATTTCAGGCCATTTGTCTCCAATTCCCGTGTGCATGACCTGTTTAAAATATTCCGCTAACGATAACAAACACTGAAGAGCACAACTAACTACACCTGCACAGCACGTAAGCCGCGTCTTTATTGCATCTGTCACATATGGGCGAATTCAGCGCGGATGTGGTGACAGCTCATCGTCTGTTAGACACGCAGGCTAAAGAGGCGGCCGGGGAGCGTCGCCGAAGGAGCGTCGAGGCCCGGACTCCAGTAACTCACGGCCGGCCGCTACACTCCACAGGCGCCAGAGGCGGCGTCAGCGGTCACCGGAGGAGCGTCGAGGCCCAGACTCCAGTAACTCACGGCCGGACGCTACACTCCACAGGCGCCAGAGGCGGCGTCAGCGGTCGCCGAAGGAGCGTCGAGGCCCAGACTCCAGTAACTCACGGCCGGCCGCTACACTCCACAGGCGCCAGAGGCGGCGTCAGCGGTCGCCGAAGGAGCGTCGAGGCCCGGACTCCAGTAACTCACGGCCGGCTACTACACTCCACAGGCGCCAGAGGCGGCGTCAGCGGTCACCGGAGGAGCGTCGAGGCCCAGACCCCAGTAACTCACGGCCGGCTACTACACTCCACAGGCGCCAGAGGCGGCGTCAGCGGTCGCCGAAGGAGCGTCGAGGCCCGGACTCCAGTAACTCACGGCCGGCCGCTACACTCCACAGGCGCCAGAGGCGGCGTCAGCGGTCACCGGAGGAGCATCGAGGCCCGGACTCCAGACTGAACAGGCGGCGACGGTCGCACGTGAGCTACACGCCAGTCACTGTTGGGCCGCTCGGTACGTGTGCGGCTGCAGCGGCTGCGGCTCCGACTGCGGCTGTATCCGACAGCTTCGTAGTGATAGTACTAGTACCGCTAGTACTCGCACTAGTTAGTCCCATGCCAGTTCCGCTGGCGCTGGACTGGCAACCGATACGATGAATCACATTAAGAGCATAGGAATCAACAAACACCACTGAAGCTGAACTAAAACTGTTCTCTACGGAGCAGACAGCAAACACACGATTGCACATGAATTGCCCGACGCAGATGTCGGTTTGTGCCGTGGTTGTTGCTTTTTTGCAGCAGCAGCAGCAGGTTGCCTTCATTCCCGTGGAGCCAGTGGCTCCAACAATGGCACTCTTTGCCCCGATTGTCGTGAGCTAGGACAGCAGCGCGTCTCTCCGTGAAGCCCTGAGCTGTTGAACTGTGTGGGGCAGGGGCACGGAGGGCGCCCGCCTGCCGCCTCCACTCGAATCAAACGATCCAGTGTACGTCGAATGGTGAGTGACGGCGGGAGCAGCAGCAGGATAGTCTGAAGTGAGGACCACGAAGCTCTTACGGGCGTGCACGACACTTTCCCATTGTTCCCTGCACCGCGTCCGTTTCCCACGTGGGGGGAGGGTTTAAATCCAGATTGCGTGGAGATCCCGGGTGCTAACGTTACCCACGCAGTCACTGTCACTCCGTAAAAAGGGGCGTAACGACGTGCGTCACGTCCCCTTTTAAAAGGACCAGCTCACAACGAGAGCAACCTGTTCAGACGCCGTGTTCAGCAGCCGCGCCGGCCGACAGACGCGTCAGACACGGATCACTTGCACAGCAACAACGAGCGAGGCCTCGGCTGCCTGCAGGAGCACGTCGCCCGCGAGCGGAGGTCAGGAACGCTGCCACCGCCGAGTCGGCGGCCACGGCTCGGTCGAGGTCAGCGGCCTCGGCCGTGCAGGGTCCGGCCGTCGGCGGCCACGGCCCGGCTGTCGAGGTCAGCGGCGTCCGGCCGTGCAGGGTCCGGCCGTCGGCGGCCACGGCCCGGCTGTCGAGTTCAGCGGCGTCCGGCCGTGCAGGGTCCGGCCGTCGGCGGCCACGGCCCGGCTGTCGAGGTCGGCGGCGTCCGGCCGTGCAGGGTCCGGCCGTCGGCGGCCGCGGCTCGGCTGTCGAGGTCAGCGGCCTCGGCCGTGCAGGGTCCGGCGGCAGGGTCGTCCCCGCCGGACTCTGGGTAGTGCGTGGTGGAGCGACAGTAACGACGGCACCAGTGGCTGGCTGACGCTGAGCCGCCGGGCCTCCGGTCCGCGTGCTCTGTACGGGTCCGGCTGAGGAGGAGTTCACCTCGGCACTTGGGCCCGGCGCCGACCAACAGCAAGGTGTACCCGAATTTCTGTGCTGGGGGACAGCACACAGCAGATCTGGCACGCAGGATGGGAGCACCACCAATGCCAGTCACTTGTGCCATGGAGCTACAGCTGCAGACTGGGGTGGTGGCCATACAGGTGTTGCCACCTGGTGACACTGCCAGTCACTCACAATGAGACTGCTTCCTTTCTGAATAATCTGGCTGGCTGGCTCAATGACCCTGACTGGCTGAATAGATAGATATATATGCAGGAGCTTCCACAAAATGAATTGCCTAGCTTCCAAGTCGATGTGCATGCAATGGCCACCAGATATAAAAGACAATGCAGATGAGCATGATGTATCACATTGCAATATATGTTTATCTACTTGAAAAATTTGAGGTTAAGATTATCCTAAAAGCTGTGTTGCATGTGACCTCTGACAACCCCACTCAGCCAGTAGCAAGTTCCACACCATGGATGCTGCACAGAATGTGAACACAGAATGTGGATCGGAGGCACATAAACTCCTGCAGACATGCCAAAGAGCGGCTGCAGTTGGTTGACAATCTGAGTGGCAGAGCCAGGTATTACACTCTGGTGTATCACATGCTTCACCCACGGCTTTGAAGATCTCATCTCGCATCTCTGGTGGGTAGATGGCTGCAAGGTGTGAGGGTCTCACAGGTGATTATATAATACACAATACTGTGTTCATGTATTTCACTGGCTCTGCTTTAATGCCTTTACCTTTAGAGCTTTTCAATACTACCATATTGGAAACCAGTGCTGAATGAACATCAGTAGCAGCCTGTGCCATTTTGCACCACATGGATTTCCACATCAAGATGCGATGGCTGTCGTCATGAAACCTCAGGCAGCTTGGCATGTTTGGTAGTTAGTGTCAATAAAACACTTAAAATGAATGAGCAGGCATCTGCCTTCTTAAGTAAGCATATCTCTCAAAGTGCAACAAGTCATACCCATTCACCTCATGATGATGATGATGATTTCGGGGTTTTTGGGCACATTGACTGCAGTGGGTTATGCTGCACCCTTCATTGTGTCCGCGATGTTGTTGTCGGCTCTGTTGGTTAATGCCTAGCCCACATGATTGCACTCATTGCCACAGTTCTCAGTGAGTAGCAGCAAGAAACAGCTGCTATTTATGTTGAATGTAAGATGATATAGTAGTTTTGATGGGTATTGGTGCTCCAGTTATTGGCGCGTGCCGGTATTAACCATGGGTGTAAATGATAGTCTTTCCAGAAGTTCCAGTACAAAACATGAGGTCAAACCCACTTCACACCAAATTTTCAATGAATAATTTTATCAAAACAAAGCTGAACCATCTCCAATAACTAAAGGGCAAAACTTACCGCGAGAAAGCCTGGAAGACGAGCCTAACGCGACTACGCAGCTATCCTGCCGCCCAAAGATACGCTTGTGCCCCACAACCGATACCACGAAAGTATCTGATACCCCGCACGCTTGGAAAGTCAGCTCATGAAGTCTTCCGCACCGGCACGGAACGATAACTGGCCCAAGGCCAACTGGCCTAAACCGACTCCACGGCACGACAGTCCCCCCACGCGTTACCCACAACACCAGACCTGTCTACACATCAATCGCTGTGATTACAAGCGTCGGGCAGGCCGACGCCGCGCCAAATACGCGAGAACGCAATGTTGCAATTAGGAACAGGGCTAGTAAATATGGCGTGTTCAACCACGACGAGGATGCGATGGCCCATTTTCTGTTTCTTTTTCTAGAAAAGAGAAATTTGGTATATCATCTGCACTGCAGGAACAAAATACGTATTTCTACTATAGATACAACTTAGTTGTTGCACGAGACGAAACTGTTAAGTGTTTTGCCGCCTCCGTAGTCCTGGAGAAACATGACATGCTCATAATCCAGCGGCACGGAGCACCAGTCCCACATACGCGCGTTGTTTGGCCAGGCTGAAACGGAAAGGTCCGCTGGCAGCTGGACAGCCAGAGTAAGCCCGGATATGGGACGGATAAACGCGGACCCGGGGCGGACGTGACTCCACAGTCCTGCCTGGCAAAAGGGAAGAGTCAAAATTGTTCGTCGACCTGGACAGATCGACTCGGGACAATTCGGTTCAGGGTATAGAAAACAACCCATGCTTAGCAGGAACTCCGAACCTTAAGCCATCCGTGCAAACCAAAAAGAAAATTAAAATAAATTGATAAGAGATGAAATAAAAAAACTTTGAGACCCTGCAACAAACTCAGCAAACTCAGCGGCCTGTATGTGGACGTGCAATATGATCACTTTTGGCGCACAATAATCTGCAGTAATATCGTTGCTATTTTCGCCCGCAAAATCATGATCATGTTTCGGACCTACATCAGAGGCTTGGATAACTCTCCGCTACAGATCTGTCCAGGCATCACACTATATCACTCACCCTCAAGGGTTTTTATTCAGGTTAGCATAACTCACTTGCTCGGGGGTCTGCCCCCCCCCCCCCTCCCCTAGCTTGAGTTCCCTCAGTGTTTCTCTGCCCTCCCCGAATCCATGTGAGCCAAAAAGGGACTGCCGTGCAAATGGAGTGCAGCAAGTGTCTGACTCTGACTAGGGTTTGTACACCAGATACTATACATCCCAATCAATATCATCAGCATATATCGTCATTGCCAACGCCATACCGATGCAAGAAGGAAAGCGTGCCTCAACATCAAAACAGCTTTCAAAATGATCAATTCTTTTTTCAAGTTGAATTTTTGAAAATAGGGACACAGATCAAAATGGCTGATGTCCGAGGAATATTAGTATTCGAGGCAGGTTAGGTCACCTGTATTGGCTTAGCATTTCTAACCAATAATAGAAAGAGACACGCCTGCATGTGTTCTATTTTTGCAAGCTTTTGCAACAGGAGCAGGTTGCATGCATGGCAATGCGTTACGTTGCTGCGGAGGAACGACCAGTCACCAACTGATGGTCAAAATCGGTTCAATGATTCTTGGTCCATCAATATCGGTTCAGCAGAAGTTGCGACGCATGTGTGACGTTCCGAACCACAACACGCGCCAAGATCGGCACTCGAGCCCTCCAGGCGTCCATTCCTCTCCCCGGAATCTCATGTCGGCTTGTGGACACGGACGTAACTTAACGTTAGATGATACTGGGGCTCATTTCCATTATGACGCTTTTTGCTGTGGTCTCAAACAACAAAAATTGTCAGGTCTGTCCAGAAGTTATTGGGCTTCTCAATCCACCGTTCTCAGTGGGGGCCACGCCCATGCTTGTGAGTCTCTTCCACACAAAGTTCCGCTTGTTCAGAGCATGGCCCTGGTAACGGAAGATTAGTAGGTGTCATGATAGCTCCACTTCCGAGAATGCTGAAAATCAACTGCGTGATGACGCGCTGAAAGAGTAGACCTAAAACCGGTTTGGGCATACTCGGTTTCAGAGACGTTGGTTCTGCTTCACCCTGGAAGCGGAAGGAACGTCTGCTTTTGAGAGGAAGGTCTGATTTGGAAGCACTTCGGCAGGTGCGAGTTACGAGCGGCCACTGTGGCCAAATGCCGGCGTTCATCGGTCCTCGGTGGTCCTCGCAGCTCCGGACAAGGCCAGGGACCAAGCAGCCCCGGTCATGTCCAGGGGTCTTGGAAGAGGCGGTGTGATGTGTCTGCAGGCAGGTGGGGGTCGTCTGTGCCATGGAGGGTCAGGGCAGGTGGGGGTCGCTGTGCCATGGAGGGTCAGGGCAGGTGGGGGTCGGCTGTGCCATGGAGGGTCAGGGCAGGTGGGGGTCGGCTGTCCATGGAGGGTCAGGGCAGGTGGGGGTCGGCTGTGCCATTGGAGGGTTGTAAATGATGTTGGCGTTGCCGGGTGCCAAGATTATAAAATGCATATTTCGTATTGCAAGCGCATACCTGCCGCCACCCATGCGTACCACAAAAACCAAACGATATCGAAAAGTTACCAAATATATTGTAGACAACAGACCCTTGACAACGACAAACACGGTAGTCCGGTCCCCCGCTACGGCAAAGATACGCACACATACGCATACAGTATATACCTCAGTGACTGGACGTCAATCTCTTCACGGCCGACGTTAAACTGCGCAGCGCTCCGCCGATCTCTCGATCTGAGCTGGACCTGACCAATGAGCTCTCGCTCTGGGCTGGACTGACCAATGAGCTCTCGTTGAGCCCTTGGCCGGTCGTCCGCGGAGGAGTGGCTGCGGGCTGGGGCGTCAAACCACTCCACCGCCACCGAGGAGGCAGGGACACAATGGACCAGAGTCCTTCGCGGAGGCCAAGCGGGTAAGGCCGCGGTTTAACGCGGCGATCATCACAACAACTGGCACAACATATATGGCGTTAGCTACGGCAGTTAGAGGCTGAAGCTCACAGGACTTACATGTAATACACACGAACAACCGCGCAGCAGAGGGCTGCGCTGTTTTCGTCGGCCACCAATGGAGCCAGACAGCAGACCGGACCAATCGGACCAATGGGATTGGATAGAGCCGCGGGATGCGCGTAACGAGTCGACCCGGATCACGCCTCGGACCAGCGGCAACCTTGCCGCGCCACTCGGACATACGTCGGCAAGGCGGTGTCGTCTGTAACGCTCCGCGGCAGCGGGGCGACAGCGTATGTCGCGGCGCTCCAGCTACAGGGTAGCCAGCAGGGTCTGCACGGTCATGTAGATGGTGATGCCCAAGCCGACCATGAAGGCCAGCCCGCGGGACGGCTGAGGCACCTAAAGGAGGCGGGGGGGGGGGAGGTCAGACTGCTGTGGTGATGAACGCGTAGGATTTCCAGTGCGACGCATCGTTTGATTTAAATTGCGCAGAATCCGGTTCTTATTGACAATGCATAGCGAAAAAGTGATAAAACTAAAACTTTGCTATCACTTAAGCTGCTAGATCACAACGTTGGCAGTGGTGAATGAGAGCCACCATGTTCAGGGCGCCAACGCTCTGGTTGCTTTGATTCCAAGGCTGAGCAGCCCCCGAGCTGAACGCAGTGCACGACAAACGACGGTTAACGAGACCCCTGACGATGGCTTGTTACATGGCGACGACGTGCCGCCAGCGACAGCGCACCAATAGCCCGCCATTGACAGCTACCAGTGGACAGGCCACCACGAAACACCACCAATAACACTCCATCGAGTACTCACCAATAACACTCTACCGAGTACTCAGCAATAGCACTCCACCGATGGCTCACCAATGACGCTCCACCTATGACCCGTCAATGGCGTCCCACTGATGACCCATCAGTGAACTCCACCGATGACTCACCAATGACTTTACACCGGCGCGTTTATTTATCATACCGTGCCCTTTAATAGCCACACCAGCACCACCACCACCGATACCCCACTGACGGAAGCTCATCGACACCCCCAACAGGGGGGGGGGGGGGGGGCTGTCGCCTCTCCCTCTGCTGCTGCTGGAGCTGGAAATCCCCAACTGAATCGGAAGGAAACTACACCCCAGCATTCCAACCAAGGACATTCAAACTCGGACGCCCGTTAGCGACAACAACGTACACCCCATCAACGAACACCCCCCACCAGTGAACACTCCACCAACGAACACCCCACCAGTGAACACCCTACTAACGAACACCCCATCAACGAACATCCCACCAACGA